CAATAGTGAGTCTCCACTTACCTACCAGCGCCGGAAAACCGATTTGTGGCGTACCGCTAACCGTCAACCGGTATGCTTTTATTGTGGCGAAGCTGGGCACGTCTACAGAGTTTGCCGTTATCGCGACGCTCAGTACTCGAGATTTCCTCGCTACCTTGATTACATTGCGTACGACGATCAACGCATGTGCAACTACGCCTATGTGAACACACCGCCGCAGAATCCAGTAATGCCCAGATCACGTTCTCCATCTCCTGCGCGGCCCAGTTCACCTAATCGTCGCAGTTTTGCCGACGTCACCAGGGGCAGGTCTCCTAGCCCGCGACGGGGAAACTAGACGCAGCGACCTCGGGGGGTGGGGTTGCCAATATTCGAAATTCCGAGCAGCCCCCATTGCAGACAAGTGACAGCTCGAAGCCATCGATACCGAAGAAGACGACAGCAACGACTAATTCGACGAATGAGACGTTATCAGCGCTGACCTCGTCGTTCACATTGACGGCCACCAAGTGACGGCACTTGTGGACACTGGCTCCCACTTTTCTATAATAAGCCTACAGCTAGCCGAAAGACTAAGGAAGGTGAAAATGCCATGGCAGGGACCCAATATAAGAACTGCAGGAGGTCAGTTGATGACACCAGTTGGAAAGTGCACGGCCCGACTCTTCATTGCTGGTTCCACCTTTGTCGCCACCCTCGTCATACTCCAAGAGTGCTGTAAACAGCTCATATTGGGAATGGATTTCTTGCGCGAATACGGGGCTGTGATTGACATCCGTGACAGAAGCGTAACGTTCACTGTAAGCTCGGAGACTGCTACAGATGAGGAACACCAGCCACCTCGCTTCCGTATTGCCGATGACGACGTCATACTGCCGCCACGAAGTTGTTCTCTCGTATCCGTGCACTGTGACAAATTACAAAATGGTACTGGCATCGCTGAACACATCAAGGAGCTCGCATTCACTAGCGGCATTTCTGTTGCCAGGGCTGTCATCACTGTTATTGACGGATGCGCTGAACTGCTATTGACAAATTTCAGCAGAGAACGCCGACACATAGTTAAAGGCACGGCTATTGCATATTTTGACAAACTCTCGCAAACAGAAGATTGTCATTTAGTGGAGGAAGCAGCAGCATCTACTATAACTACACCGACACCTGTAGACGTTGGTCCAATGTTATCTCCCATTGAGCAAGACCGCCTTCTCACGCTGATCAACAAGTTCCACGGCTGCTTCTCATCCACATCAAGAGTTGGTCAAACGGCACTGACGAAACACCGCATCATCACGGATTCCGATGCCAGACCCATCCGGCAAAATCCTTATCGAGTCGCCCCAAAGGAGCGTGAGGTAATTCAAAAACAGGTGAAAACGATGCTAGAAGATGGTGTTATTCGGCCGTCTAACAGTCCTTTGGCATCACCTGTAGTACTCGTCAAAAAGAAGGACGGTAGCTTGCGTTTCTGCGTCGACTACCGTAAGCTTAATCAGATCACAAAGAAGGACGTCTACCCTCTGCCGCGTATTGATGATTCATTAGATAGACTACAAAACGCACGCTACTTTTCGTCTATGGACTTAAAAAGCGGCTACTGGCAAATTGAAGTGGATGAGAGAGATCGTAAGAAGACCGCCTTTGTTACGCCCGACGGACTTTATGAATTTCAGGTTCTTCCTTTCGGTTTGTGTTCGGCGCCAGCAACATTCCAGCGTCTCATGGACACGGTTCTGTCGGGACTTAAGTGGCAAACGTGCTTGGTGTACCTCGATGACGTGATTGTCTTTTCGGCGACTTTCGAGGAACACTTACGAAGGCTCGAAGCAGTTTTTGAAGCAATACGTTTGGTCGGTCTTACTCTAAAACCAGAAAAGTGCCACTTCGGCTTCCACGAACTTCGATTCCTCGGTCACGTCGTGAGCAGCCAAGGGATCCGACCCGACCCGGATAAAATTGCCGCCGTGGCAAACTTCCCGACGCCATCAGACAAAAAATCAGTGCGACGTTTTTTAGGACTCTGTGCCTATTACCGGCGGTTTATTGCTAATTTTTCGCACATCGCATGGCCATTGACACAGCTTACTCGGGAAGATACTCCCTTCAGATGGGGTGAAGACCAACAGCAGGCATTTCACGAGCTTCGTCAGCGAATGCAAACACCCCCCGTGCTGACCCACTTCGATGAAGGCGCGCCGACAGTACTTCATACAGACGCTAGTAATGTGGGTCTTGGAGCAGTGCTCGTAGAGTCGAAGGACAACAATAAAAACGTGATCGCCTATGCCAGCAGGACGCTTTCCCGAGCTGAAGCTAATTACACTACGACGGAAAAAGAATGTCTTGCAATGGTATGGGCAGTCCTGAAGTTTCGTCCTTATTTGTACGGCCGCCCATTCACCGTTATCAGCGATCACCACTCACTCTGTTGGTTAGTCAACTTGAAAGATCCGTCTGGCCGCCTTGCACGATGGAGTCTTCGGCTCCAAGAATTTGACTTCAGTGTTGCCTACAAGTCGGGAAAACGACACACCGATGCCGACTGTCTTTCTCGGTCTCCTGTTGAGACGGCATCCCCGGACAACGACGATGACGACACGGCCTTTCTCGGAATTGTGGACACTGCCACCTTTTCTCAACAGCAGCGTGGCAATGCTGAGCTGCTACCACTTATAGATTACCTACAAGGGCGAGCGAAAACCGTTCCGAAGTTATTTGCGAGAGGGCTGCCGTCGTACTACTTGCGAAATGACGTTCTTTATAATCGGAACTTTTCACCCACCGACAGCAGCTACTTGCTCGTCGTTCCTTCTTCGCTTCGCCGTGAGGTACTGCAAGCCTGTCACGACGAACCTACCGCTGGTCACTTGGGTTACGCAAGAACATTGGCGAGGATAAGGCAGAACTATTACTGGCCAAGACTTGCCAAAATTGTCAAAACTTACGTGCAGGCATGTCTAGATTGCCAGCGCCGCAAGCCACCATCCATCAAACCAGCTGGCCTGCTGCAGCCTGTTCGAGTGCCGGCGACACCGTTTGCACAAATTGGCATGGATTTTCTCGGCCCCTTCCCAAAGTCTGCCACTGGAAACAGGTATATAATCGTCACCACGGATTACCTGACCCGATACGCGGAGACAGGCGCTCTGCCACGGGCAACGGCAGCTGAAGCGGCGCAATTTTTCATCGAAGCCATCGTCTTACGACACGGTGCCCCCGCAATAGTCATCAGCGACAGAGGTACTGCGTTCATGGCCGAGCTTTTGGACACCATTTTCCAACTAAGTGGTACAGCTCACAGGAAGACAACGGCGTATCATCCCCTGACCAACGGGCTCACCGAACGCCTCAACAAGACCCTGGCTGACATGATAAGCATGTACGTAGATGTAGAGCACAAGAACTGGGACATCATTTTACCCTACGTCACGTTCGCGTACAACACGGTTCGTCAAGAGACCACTCGCAAGACACCCTCTAGTCTCCTTTACGGACGCGAGGTTACAACAACATTAGACGCAATGCTCCCTCATGAAAATGATGGCAATGAGACAGACGCCGAAGAGTTCACCCAGCTACCAGAAGAAGCCAGACAACTTGCCAGGTTGCGAATCACCAAACAGCAAGACGACGATGCCAAGTATTACAACCTCCGGCATAGACCCGTCATATACAACGTGAACGACAAAGTATGGGTCTGGACACCTGTTCGTCAGCGTGGGCTTTCCGAAAAGCTGTTGCGAAGATACTTCGGACCCTACAAGGTTCTGCGACGCATTAGTGACGTCAACTACGAGGTTGTTCCGGACGGCGTGCGGTGTTCAAAGCGGCGCAGACATTCACCAGAAATTGTCCACGTGCTTCGGATGAAGCCTTACTTTCAGTGACTAACTGTGCAGTTTTGGTTTCGCCTTGCTTCTCAAACGTTTAACATCGGGACGATGTTTTTTAAAGGGGGAATAATGACGCGCGTATGTGCCAGTGGTGAGGACAACGAAGGAGCGCGAGTGTCTTTGGCCGAGGGCAAAAGACGAAGAAGTCGTTGCGGTCTGTTTCCTGCGATTGATAAATCGTATTTGTTTGAGGCGCTTTGTGTGCTCGTCAATCTTGCTCGGCAAAAGACACTCGCGCTCCTTCGTTCTCCTCACCACTGGCACATACGCGCGTCAATATGTATGTTGAGGCACTGTTTACGTTGACACCGTATTTTCTCGGGCAAAACACATCCATGCATATTGCTCGCAGCGCCAACTACAGTGCATGGAAAAAAATAAAAAGATGAAGTGAAAAATTTCTGCACATTGTAGTGAAACAGATTTCAGTGATTCCCATCAAGAATGGGGTAAATTACTTGAAATATCTTAATATGAAATTGTTCAGAATTTCCAATTCCTGTATTGTGAAGAGTTCGGTGTATATGCAGGTGCGAATGCATATCAAACCAAAACGCAACCCAACCGGGTTATACACAACTGGAAGACAACCAGTCAAGCGAAGCCCTGCAATACAAGGGGTAATCTGCAAAGGATGACACCGAGTCTCTCGAGAGCCACACCGAGAAACCTCATGTAACCTACAGAAGGGGCAACCAGCGGCCAACACTTCTCTGAACATGGTCTCCCTTGCACATCATTTTTCTGGAAGAAGTGTATTCAAGAAATGCTGTAACTGCTCAGCGGACTGTAACAAGCCTGGTGAATATTGAAGGGAATTTATTCAACATTTAGTGTTCTTCAATATTCTCCAATGTACGATTGTATATATAATTGTCTCCTTGTCAACTTGGAGCTCTTTGTCTTTGCAACGACAAACGGTACTGCTGGTGCAAAGGATGACCTTATCTTAAATTTCGCGTGCTTTTATAAGGTGTTTTGTCGTACCAGTACAATTCTATGCGATGCCTTCAAAAAAGTGTTAGGCAATTTTACTACTACATCTGCAGTCTGTTGCGACTTCCGCATGGATAGGGCAAGTTACAGAAAGGACACAGGACACAAGGGTTTACAAAAACGTGCCAAAAAATTTCATGCAAAAAAAAAATTCATTTGGCATTTTTTATTGATGATTCATGGAGCACAATACTGTACACAATGAAGTATAGAGGGAAAGAAGTAATAAAAAGAGGAAAGGGCAGCAATGAGCCACGCTGCAGTGACACGGAGTAACAAAACAAAACAAGACAAGACAAGTCTAGGCCTGAGCAAAATGATCTTTGTGGTCGTCGTCGCTGCGGCGATTTCATCAGACGTGAATGGATATGGCAGGTGTGCAGCAGCGTCCACACGCACACGGAAGGCTTTTGTCTTCCTTTCGGACCCGGACTCCTGCAATAAAAGAAGAAACGCCAAGTGGTCAACAAGGTCAACAGGCGACCTCGCGCCTAGTAAAAACGAAAGTGCTGCGGGCGAAACTGGGGTTGCTCTCTGCCCCATCGTGCAGACGGAGCTTCCATGGTTATGAAGGCACTATGCTGACAAGGCATGAGTGATAAACACAAGAAAAACTGCAAGGGACAGATACAAAGCATTCGGGCCTTCTTGACGTTTTCCATGAGGTTTGCAGTGGTGGGAATGCCTTCCAGCATTTTGGGGCAGCCAATAGAGCAGACAAAACTTGCTTTTGGAGTGGCTACCTCTGTGTTTGGAGCATGCACGAGCTTTTCATGATACACACAGAGGAAAAAAATTTAGCTATAATTTAGTTGAACGTTCCCCCAGATTACATATTCATATATGCAGAAGCTGCAAGCACACAAAATAAGCACAAAAATAAACAAAGACAGGATCATACACAGAAGCGGTGGCATAAAACAACGAAGGATATTGCACCGAAATTGAAGCTACACGAAGTTCTAGCAGTGCGCGCACACACATTCACTTAGGTGTGCGCATGGGAAGGCCGGGGAGGCGCAAAGTCAGCTCAGCCCAATACATCGAGATGATAGGGAGAGGTTGCAGCAGTGTACCTTTGCCCCCCCCCAAACACACCTATGCACCCCCCTCACACACATTCAAAGCTTTTTACAGTAAAAATCTCGTTAATACGTACATACGTGTAGAGAATGCGGCTAACTGCACATAAATGAACCATGCATTAACCACCAAGTATCGATTTGCTTGTCATTACTCATTACATGCACCATCCCCGCTAAAGCAGGATTAAATAGTGCTACAGCAAATATTGCCTTAGGTGGCCACGAGTAGCCACCACAACGCCATTTCTTTCTCTTTGCCAAATTTCCAGAAATTACTAGCACTCTCGCACAGCTGTCCGATGGCACGCAATGGCAACATTAAGGAGCATTTCGAAACTAATGCGGAGTTCGGAATACGTAGCCGACGCAGAGACTGCCATAGCCACGAAGCGAACATAAGCAGCTGTCCTCAATAAATGTGTACCACAATCTGCTACATAGTGAAAACAGACACGGATTTTCTGAGATACTGTACGGTTGCAGGGAGCCGATCGTCTACTGGCTAGTTGCGTGCAGCGCTTCGCCTACCGTATTTTCGCCTCCCGTGCGGGACTGGCGGAAACAAAAGCAGAAGATTGTCGACAGCAAAGCTTCACCCAAAGGTTTCAGTGGACCACAGCAGGGTCGGTTTCCGCAAATTAAACAGCTGCTCGGCGAGTATGTGCTTGAGCAGCGAGCGGCACAGCAGCCCGTGACGACAGAACTGTTCCAAGTGCGGGCTATGCAATTAGCCTTAGAAAAAGGTCTAATGCGGAGCCAGTTTAAAGCGAGCAGGTGCTGGCTAACTTCATAAAGAGGAAGGGCTTTTCCCTCCGAAAGGGAACGGGCATATGCGAAAAGTTTCGCGGAGGAGTACGATGAAAAGCTTCACAGTTTTCAGAGGTTCGTCCTAAACTTGCGGCACAACAACGGCTACCTGCTTGGGCAAATCGGGAATGCCGATCAGACGCCTGTTTACTTCGACATGCCTGGCACCACAACCGTCAAGAAGAAGGGGGCGAAGCAAGTTCCCGTGCTGACATCGGTCCACGGTAAAAATACAGTGACGGCAATACTCTGTTACACGTCAGTTGGGCACAAGCTTTCCCCCGTACATCACATTTAACTGGAAGACACTCCCAAAAAGAGTAGTTTTTTCGAGTGGTGTGATGCAGCGGGCCAGCGAGAAAAATGGGTGCGCATTGCAATGGATGTCTTACTTTTTTTTTTTGCGTCGTGGAAATAGGATGCGCGTTACAATCGAGGGCGCGGTAGAATCGAGTAAATACGGTACATGTTTCTGCAAAGCGGTGGACGCTGAACAAGATCATGCACAACGATCAGGAGGGCAGCGGTGAGCGCCCCTCCGTGCTCAGGTAGTCGCCAGCTATCAAAAGCAAGCAGTAGGCTTAAATCGGTGCTACGCCGCACACGTAGTGTTTTTTTTTTTTTTTGTGCTGACTGGTGCACTTTTCGGTGGTCTCCACATCACCTTCGTTCTTTGCCAGTGGTTACCACAAAAAGGCACCGCTGCAATTGCGCTGAAGTGAGAATAATTGATTGGCTGATTTCGTGCTCTTGCAGCAGCGCAAGTGTACAAGATGATTATCCCGTAATATCCGCTCATATGCGTGTTGTCAACATTACTTTCGGTTCCTAAACCACCTTGTGGCACAGCAATGGCGCAAATCAGACAAAAAAGACCCCTTTGGAGCAGTATGACGCAGTAACTTCCAGGTGGCGCAGGTTGGCGCAATCGGCACAGCTTCCCCACCCTTGGGTTTGTATTCACGACTGCGGACGTGCAGACTGCACTGTTTCATTTAAGTTAGCTGCCGGCCCCAGTTTTGTGCAGCACATTTGCAGTGTTTCACCCCTGATGATTGAGATTTGTCTCAGGTGTAGCCATGTACTTAAGAGTTAGACTTAGATACCATTGTTTTCGGAAATACAATTTCAAAGCCGTTGCATGCAAGCAACATTCAGGCAAGGTTTGCTTGCTTTGAACATTTGTACAAGCAGCGTGAATCGAGATAATCTGCACGTGCTACAAAAAACGGAAAAGTTCATGCAAGAAAGACAACTGCTCTGCGGAAAAAGAACTCCTTGAGTGAGTGTTTTAACAAGGCTACGCTACACCTTAAACAGGGGCACTTTAGAACAACGATCGTATTTCCCAGCAATTTATCATCCAGAATTTAGCGATTCCAGTCACCAATTTGATCAAAATTGCCACAACTCACGCTCAGCATGCAAAGTTTGGTCACACGGCCTCAGTCACCTTGACGTCCAGCAGCCATTACCTCGCCGCCTGCAAACAAAAAATGAAAGACAATTCAATGCAATCTTCTATATAAACATGCCCGCTCTTTATTTAAAAAAAAAGCAATCCAAAGTTTACAGAGCAACAGGTAGCTCAACAAGAACAACCACCTCAATACACAGACTGTTCCACTTCACACATCTGCACGTGAATTTCTTAGATATTTACACAATTCCACGAAGTGGGGGCTGTGTTTGGTAATTCCCAATCACCAGACAGCACCGCCACAAGAGACGAGTTGCAGTATCTACAAGGCCCCTTACCTGCCCCATAGAATGTCATGCACAATGGCAGTGCCTGCCATCCTAACTAGAATTGTTACATGCAGTGTAGTGAGCATGGGAGACACTGCCATCAAGCACGAATGCCCAATAAAAGGTGGGAAAGTGCCCTGTTTGCCCGGGCATGGCTAAATGCGAGAAACGCTATGCGGCCATAAGAAATTGTAGCAAGGACGGGAAGCACCGTCACAGTGCATGAATTTCAGATGTGAAGCAGCTCTTTGACTAGCCTGCGTAATACTGTCCCTCCATACAGCCCCACTGCGCATGCTCGTGTCTCGTGCCAGCTCAGGAAGACACCCACAAAACTGTCACTCCCCTCCCTCTCTCTCGCCTCGCAAGGCCGACGCAGGCGGCGTCTGCTAGTAAAAAAACAGACTGCTCACGCTGCACAACCGTTCACTGGCCACCCTGTATATGCAGGGACTGGATCGCGCTTTCCGATTCAGTCAAGGGGCGTCTTTACTTGGCTTTCCGCTTGATGAGTGCTAGTGTCCAACGTCGCCACCAGGGGTAAGCGTGTAGCGCCCGCTGCTTCGCATCTACACATGGTTCTTTCAAACGAGAGATGGTGAAAGTCTTTTTGTTGTGCAGGAAGTTGTTTTGGCAAACTTGGCACACTCTTCTTGGAGTAAAATTAGCTTCACAAAAACACTTATGGCGTGGCTTGGGCGTCCCTCGTAGGTAACCACCAGTGGCACATACTCGAAGTAGGTATAACACTTGACCTCCAAGGTGGTGCCAGTGAGAGATTTCTTCTGTGCGTTGTTTAACAATAAAAAATAGTGCTCAATGTACATGCCAATGGCTGCTAATGGGGAATGAGAGACATGAGCATTCGGCTTTTAGTCAACGCGCACGCTGCGATCCCCATTAGCAGCCACTGGGATGTACATTGAGCACTATCGGACAAGAAAGGGATGCTACATTATACTCGCTGGGTGTAACCTCCTTAGCTTTAGAAAGTTTTAGCGAGCGTTGAGCCGCAGTGCCATGAATACAATGAACTTTTATATACAGGAGACCGCCAGGAGGCTCGAAGTAGTGCAGACGCGCTCGCTTCGCGCTCTGGATTCTCATGATTTTTAGTGGTGTTTTCCGTCTGCAACCACTCGAAAACATTACTATCAGCTTCAAGAAGTTCAGAGGAACGCCTGGGCACCACTCAAGAGGATTTCTTGCCACTTGGAGGTGCCAGAGGACTTCAGAAAGCTCGTCACCCCTAGGACGCTCACCAAACGCTGACCTGGGGAGCCGCCGGCAGCTGCACCGACGCTGGGGACGCCCGCGTCGGAGCTTCATCCAGCTATGGCTCTCAACGCGGCGACCGACCAACAATACCACCTCCTAAACCAGGATGGCACAGCAGACGACCAAATGGATCAACTCCAGGGCGACCACGATACGGTGAGCCGAGACGCTATCGGCGCTCAATCGCATGCAGAAGAGGACGCTAGCTGGCAGGCAGCGAAATCCACCAAAAAACGCAAGCAAGAGGCACTGGAGCGGAGGCGCGGCAGCGCAGGGCTCCAGGACCAAGTTAAGACAGGCACGCCAACATTCAAGAAATTGCCAAAGCTACCGCCGTTGCCGAAGGACGATTACAAGATCGTCATTCGTCCAAACCAGGGCCTCCCGCTGAGAAACATTCTGACTCCTACGCTTGCGCAAGCAATCATCGAGGCATGCAAAGCTGGCATCAGAGATGACCATTTCATCCTTAGAATCAACCCAGGGTCAAACATAGCGATTCTGTCGATCAATTATGAGGAAGTGGCGGACAAAGTGCGTCTGATACGCGCCCTTGTGCTTAATGGCAGGGCTCACGCTGTCCGTACCTACGCCGCAAATGGAGACGATACTCTGAGAGGGGTGATTCACGGCGTACCGATGAACACCTCAACCGAAACTCTCATGGCGCACCTACGTGTCAGAACGCACGGTGTGGAGATCATCACTGCCAGAATGATAGGCACAACGAAAAGCGCAGCCATTACATTTTTCGGTCCAACGCTACCTCGTACCGTCTACTATTACGGGGGTGAACTCCGCTGCTACCCCTTCCGACCTACGATTCAAGTCTGCAAGGTCTTCCGAGAAAAAGGACACCGCGCGGACGTTTGCCCGCATCCGGATCGCCCCATTTGCCGGCTGTGCGGACTGACTAATCCAACGGATGGACATCCGTGTTCTATTAGTTGCGCCTCGTGCGGGGAGGCTCACCCCACAGGAGATCCAACTTGCAAAAAAAGACTTAAGCCGCCGAAGCCTAAACAGCCGCAAATACAAGCAGGCCACAGTGATAAGCTTCAACAGGGCACTAGCGACGACCCACCGAGGACCAGGAATCTCCGCTGGTTCTCCTCCGAAGAGGAAGAAAACGCCTACAAGTCAGCCGATGACAAGCACAGTTCCCGGTCGCATTCACGGTCCCCGGGCAGAAAGCCGCACTCGCCATCCAAGAAGAGCGCGCCAGCACCGACTCAGCAGAACCTCCACCGCAGTCCTCCAGGAGGGGGAGCCAAAGGCAACGGCGGGGATCAAGGATGCACCCAACAGGCATCATCACTTCCGGTAAGCTGGGCGGAAGCCGTGGCTCCCAAGTCTGCATGTACTCCCCCCATCACACAAAACGTACACTATCAAGCAGTAATCGCTGAAAACAAACAGCTTAAGCAACGCCTTGACAAATACGAGAACAAAATAATGTGGCTCGAAAAACAGCTGGCCCAATTAATGGGAGCCACCCCGAAAACTACAGTCCAGGCCTCTCAAAATCTAACTAGCCACCCAAGCGAAAAGCTACGGGACAATGGGCACATCCAACCGCAATCGACACCACCACGAGATCCTGTAGCCAATATAGGAACAGATCAAACAGCGACAAACCTCACTTTACAACAACAACTGCAGCTAATGCAACAGCACATACTGCAGCAAACAGAAGCCCAAATGAAACAGTTCTTTGTCGAATTTCATGACCTAAAGCGATACGGTCATGAAAGCCTCGACAAAGAAACGAAGCGTCGACGTAAGCAGAACCAACCGCGGTCCCAGGAGTCCGACGCCAAAAGCATGCTTACCTCGGACGCTGAAAGCACACTTACCTCCTCGCATCATGGCAATTAACCGACGCATAGCAAACGAGAATCTCACTATATGGTCCTGGAACTGTCGTTCCCTGCACAACAAGCACGCTACACTCACTCTCTACATAAAGGCGGCGCTAGTTCCTCCTGACGTAATCTGCTTGCAAGAGATGGGAGCCAGGCCTAAAACAGTTTCTGGCTACAAACTGTACATGGATCCAAATACACCTAAGATTGCGACACTCGTCCGGAAAGAATTGGCAGCTACATGCATAACGGCACCGAACGAAAAGACGCAACACCTTATCGTAACGCTCTGGCCAGCGAAAAAAGGACGCCCGAGGCAGATTATATGTAACATATACAGTCCCCCACAAGACAGAGAAGCAGAATTCAGCATTATCTTCCACTATTTGAACAACAAGCTTCAACCACGCGACCGCTTGATCATCACTGGGGACTTCAACGCTTGGCACACCCCATGGGGTTATAGCGCAGACAGACCCAAAGGTACGCGACTTTTAGAAGCGATACAGCGCTACGACTACACACTCCTCACGACACCGGGCATACCGACTCGTATAGGAAACAGTGTCAACAGGGACACCACTCCCGACCTTACCGTAACCAACAATGCCGCGACCATGCGCTGGAGTGTGCTGGACGACAATCTGGGCAGCGATCACAATATTGTGCAAATAACATATGAAACAGCTCGACTGCGACGCCCGCTTGGAAAAGCCAGACTGACTAACTGGACTAAATATAGAGAGCAACAGGAAGTAGACGGGCCCAAGCCAACAACTATAGCCCAATGGACACCGTACATTAAGGGTCTCTATGACAAGAACACCAAGATATATCAAACAACTACCGACGCACCTGCCATTGACACCCACTTGACACATCTTTGGGAAGCTCATCGAGGCCTCACGAAACGGTGGCGCCGACAAAAGCTAAATAAGAAACTCAGACTCCGTATAGCAAAAATCACGGAGGAAGTAAACGCATACTCAAAGGAACTTTACAACAACAACTGGCGCACCTTCTGCGATTCCTTAAAAGGCACATTAAGCACGAAAAAGACGTGGAACATCCTACGGAGTCTTTTGGATCCCTCTGCAACAAGAACCGAAACAAACGCTACCCTTCAACGGCTAGCTGGGAAATTTCAAGGTGATCCGGATCAGTTATTAGAAGAGCTGAAACAACGCTACACAGGAGAACGCAAGCGAAACGTTAGCCCAACACCCAGTCAAGAATACAATGGAGAACCCAACACTGAGCTCGACGCCCCCATAACCTTTGCGGAGGTTTATGCAGCGGCTAAAAGCTTCAAAAGAAATACAGCGCCCGGATTGGATGGCATTACAAATGCCATGGTACGGAACCTCAGCGATGAAGCATTACAAGCCATCACAGACCACTTTAATCAGGAAGTCTGGACACCGAGTGGAAAGATACCTGCAGAATGGACACTGGCACAGGTTGTACTCATACCTAAACCAGGCAAACGGTGGAGCCTTGATCAGCTACGACCAATTTCTTTAATGTCATGCATTAGCAAGCTCTTCGAAAAAGTTATACTCACTCGCCTTGACCAATACACAGAAGAACGGGGGCCTCTACCAACATCTATGTACGGATTTAGGCGAGGAGTGTCTACCCAGGATATCTTCTTACTGCTCAAAGAGGAAGTGCTTAACCCAGCGCCAGGTAGTCTCAACAATCTACTCGTTGCACTCGACATCGAAAAAGCATTAGATAATATTGCGCACTCTACCATACTAGGCAGTCTTGCAGCCATAGGATGCGGACAACGCATATTCAACTATGCCTCTGATTTTCTTGGAAATCGCAAGGCGCAGATTGGCATAGCTGGTACCAAATCATCACCATACGACCTCCCACTGAAAGGCACACCTCAGGGCTCCATTTTGTCTCCATTTTTATTCAATATCGGCCTCCGGAAACTAGTCCTCCAGCTGGAGACTGTACCAAACCTGGGCTGTGCCTTTTACGCGGACGATATTACGCTATGGGCAACAAAGGGCTCCTATGGAGAACGACAAGATGTACTGCAAACAGCTATAGACATGATTCAAGGCTACCTCACTGCTGCAGGCATGTCGTGCGCACCTAGCAAATCGGAATATTTACAAATAAGACCCCCACGCACTCGGTCCAACCGTGCACACGCGCTGCAGCTAGAAATTGCCGGACAGATCATCAACAGGACCCCAGTAGCTCGAATATTAGGCATGCACGTGCAAGAAAACAACAGCGTAAAGACTGCAATAGGCAAACTCAAACACACCGTAAAGAGTATTGCATCCCTTATAGCTAGAATTGCGCGAGGTAATGATGGGATGACAGAGGCCGACACGGTACGCCTTGTACATGCCTTCGTTCTCAGCCGAGTCACGTTCGCTCTTCCCTTTCAATCAACACGCAAGCCCGAAATAGAGCAGATTGACAGACTCATCAGAATTGCGTACAAAGCAGCATTGCGACTTCCGAACAGCACAAGCACAGAAAAACTCATAACAATCGGCATGCATAATACGTATGAAGAATTGGCCGCCGCCACGCTAATCGCACAGCGAGAACGACTCACCACTACGCTCCAGGGAAGAACACTGCTACAGAGGCTGGGATACCCTCTCACCCCTCAATATTGTGGCGATGAGACAGTCATTGTACCCAAGCAAATACGTGATCAAATAATCGTGGAACCAGTTCCAAAAAACATGCACCCGCTCTACAACAAAAAGCGCCGTCAAGCGCGAGCACGAAAACTCCTGCAGAGAAGTAGCGATCCAGACGCTTACTTTACCGACGTCAGTCTTTATCCCGCGCCACCACAAGGCTCCAGAAAACAAGCATATGCATTGGCAGTGACTAACCAAAGCAAAGTCGTGGCCTGCGCGTCCCTACGCACCAGATCAAGTGCCACCGCAGAGGCAGCAGCCATAGCCTTGGCAATCAGAGAAGCCGAAAGAAGGGGGCGCTCAGCGTATATTTTGACAGACTCACAAGCTGCATGTCGATTATACCTTAGAGGCACACTTCCAAGGTGCGTCACTGATATTTTGGGGTCCATGTTGATGGAGGCACATGGCGTCACTTGGTGCCCAGGGCATGACGGCCTGGGGGGGAACGAGGAGGCAAACTGCGCAGCTCGCGGACTTACTGGCCGAGACGCAGCACTCTCCTCAGGACACCTCACAGGGCATCATGAAGAGCAAAGTGTAACAAGCAGGCAGATATTGGAAAACCAACGCCTTACAAGACGCACGTACGCCCCTCCACATCCGAACTTAAGCAGCCAACAAGCCCGGGATTGGCGCCGCCTCCAAACGAACACATACCCCCACATATCAAAACTACACGCAATTTTCCACAGATATACACAACAGGGGTATGCCCATGGTGTAGTAACCACACAGCCACACTTACACACATAACCTACCAATGTACCGAGCGGCCAGCCAATGCAGTATCTAGGTTGGTGCGCTCACTACAAACCTACTGCTTGGGCAAATCGGGAATGCCGATCAGACGCCTGTTTACTTCGACATGCCTGGCACCACAACCGTCAAGAAGAAGGGGGCGAAGCAAGTTCCCGTGCTGACATCGGTTCCACGGTAAAAATACAGTGACGGCAATACTCTGTTACACGTCAGTTGGGCACAAGCTTTCCCCCCGTACATCACATTTAACTGGAAGACACTCCCAAAAGAGTAGTTTTTCGAGTGGTGTGATGCAGCGGGCCAGCGAGAAAAATGGGTGCGCATTGCAATGGATGTCTTACTTTTTTTTTTTGCGTCGTGGAAATAGGATGCGCGTTACAATCGAGGGCGCGGTAGAATCGAGTAAATACGGTACATGTTTCTGCAAAGCGGTGGACGCTGAACAAGATCATGCACAACGATCAGGAGGGCAGCGGTGAGCGCCCCTCCGTGCTCAGGTAGTCGCCAGCTATCAAAAAGCAAGCAGTAGGCTTAATCGGTGCTACGCCGCACACGTAGTGTTTTTTTTTTTTTTTTGTGCTGACTGGTGCACTTTTCGGTGGTCTCCACATCACCTTCGTTCTTTGCCAGTGGTTACCACAAAAAGGCACCGCTGCAATTGCGCTGAAGTGAGAATAATTGATTGGCTGATTTCGTGCTCTTGCAGCAGCGCAAGTGTACAAGATGATTATCCCGTATATCCGCTCATATGCGTGTTGTCAACATTACTTTCGGTTCCTAAACCACCTTGTGGCACAGCAATGGCGCAAATCAGACAAAAAAGACCCCTTTGGAGCAGTATGACGCAGTAACTTCCAGGTGGCGCAGGTTGGCGCAATCGGCACAGCTTCCCCACCCTTGGGTTTGTATTCACGACTGCGGACGTGCAGACTGCACTGTTTCATTTAAGTTAGCTGCCGGCCCCAGTTTTGTGCAGCACATTTGCAGTGTTTCACCCCTGATGATTGAGATTTGTCTCAGGTGTAGCCATGTACTTAAGAGTTAGACTTAGATACCATTGTTTTCGGAAATACAATTTCAAAGCCGTTGCATGCAAGCAACATTCAGGCAAGGTTTGCTTGCTTTGAACATTTGTACAAGCAGCGTGAATCGAGATAATCTGCACGTGCTACAAAAAACGGAAAAGTTCATGCAAGAAAGACAACTGCTCTGCGGAAAAAGAACTCCTTGAGTGAGTGTTTTAACAAGGCTACGCTACACCTTAAACAGGGGCACTTTAGAACAACGATCGTATTTCCCAGCAATTTATCATCCAGAATTTAGCGATTCCAGTCACCAATTTGATCAAAATTGCCACAACTCACGCTCAGCATGCAAAGTTTGGTCACACGGCCTCAGTCACCTTGACGTCCAGCAGCCATTACCTCGCCGCCTGCAAACAAAAAATGAAAGACAATTCAATGCAATCTTCTATATAAACATGCCCGCTCTTTATTTAAAAAAAAAGCAATCCAAAGTTTACAGAGCAACAGGTAGCTCAACAAGAACAACCACCTCAATACACAGACTGTTCCACTTCACACATCTGCACGTGAATTTCTTAGATATTTACACAATTCCACGAAGTGGGGGCTGTGTTTGGTAATTCCCAATCACCAGACAGCACCGCCACAAGAGACGAGTTGCAGTATCTACAAGGCCCCTTACCTGCCCCATAGAATGTCATGCACAATGGCAGTGCCTGCCATCCTAACTAGAATTGTTACATGCAGTGTAGTGAGCAATGGGAGACACTGCCATCAAGCACCGAATGCCCAATAAAAGGTGGGAAAGTGCCCTGTTTTGCCCGGGCATGGCTAAATGCGAGAAACGCTATGCGGCCATAAGAAATTGTAGCAAGGACGGGAAGCACCGTCACAGTGCCATGTAATTTCAGATGGGAAGCAGCTCTTTGACTAGCCTGCGTAATACTGTCCCTCCATACAGCCCCCACTGCGCATGCTCGTGTCTCGTGCACAGCTCAGGAAGACACCCACAAAACTGTCACTCCCCTCCCTCTCTCTCGCCTCGCAAGGCCGACGCAGGCGGCGTCTGCTAGTAAAAAAACAGACTGCTCACGCTGCACAACCGTTCACTGGCCACCCTGTATATGCAGGTACTGGATCGCGCTTTCCGAATTCAGTCAAGGGCGTCTTTACTTGGCTTTCGCTTGATGAGTGCTAGTGTCAACGTCGCCACCAGGGTAAGCGTTAGCGCCCGCTGCTTCGCATCTACACATGGTTCTTTCAAACGAGAGATGGTGAAAGTCTTTTTGTTGTGCAGGAAAGTTGTTTTGCAAACTTGGCAACTCTTCTTGGAGTAAAATTAGCTTCACAAAAACACTTAAGGTGCTGAAAACTGGCCAAAACTTGACACAATAAACGGTGGAACAGCCAAAATAGAATTTGGCACAAGTTTTTGAGCAGCAAAACGTACTTCTGGAGCACTAAAATCCAATTTTGATGCAGGTTACGGGTAAAGAAAAGTTATTTTCCACGCAAGACCAAATACAGTTGGAGCAGTATAAAAAAGAAGGCTTACATTTAGAAATATAAATTATATATATATATATATATATATATATATATATATATATATATATAATATATATATATATATATATATATATATATATATGTACAAAACATTCAAACCATCTAAAATCGTGAAGAGTGAACATGAGCACTGCTATTTCAACAAAAGTAGCATTCTGAACCACCCCACTGAGCAAGCAATGAAATAGTCTACATCAGCATTTGCCTCGCCTGTCAAATCCTTTGACAGACTCTGCAAATTCAAATGTGGCTCTGCCAAGCTGGCGACCCTGAAACTTGGGAGATAACTTAAAACTGAAGAGTAGGGGTGGCAAAAAATACTGCCGCACAATTTTTTTGGAGGAGGGGCAGCAGAAATGTCACTTGCTGCTCCAAATGACTGCCAGTAACTCATTGAGACGTTAGCGATCATACCAGTACTCACAATTACACAGCGCATACACGCATGAAAGCTTTAGTTCCTAATATACCATAACCGTGTTTGCTGACTAGGAGGTCTGTATTTCACGCGAAGGGATGGCTATGGCAACACATTTTTGTCTTGAAATTTCTTCGTCCCACCAAGAGGTATCTGCTTTGGTCAGCGCACCGATGGGCACACAGCATTATTACTTTATCTGGTGATCGTGTCTAGCAAGTGTCCTCACCTAGTGAGTATATAACTTACACTGTGGTTTAAGGCTTGCGCTGCTTGGTTTGGTTAAAGATGCAAAGTGCAGACGACCGATGTGGCCTCGATTTCTCGCTGAAATTAGCAAACCCAAGATAATTTTGAGACTAGTCGGGCATTTTGCCACAGCTTGGTGCAGCTCATGCACCCCATCGCGATACGCTGGTAAAAGTGAAAAGACTGAGTTATGGTGAATGAACGATACATTCACTATGCAATATGAATACAATTAAATACAGTCGCCGACCGATTTTCCGGACTCCAAAAATTCGGACTTGTTGGATATTCCGGACTTCATAAATGCACCGTCAGGGATCCCATAGAGCGAATGCATTGTTTCGACCGATTTTTCGGGCGAATTTGCCCCTGAAAGTTCGATTTTTCGGACTAAATTGCTTGTTTTGTGCCACGCCCCCAACCATTGTGAACGCCGCCATGTTGGATTTTCCGTCGGCTTGGCTAAGCTTGGTCTTCAGATGCCTTTCCTGCCTCTGAGATTGGAATGCGCACGCCATATTTTAAGTTTCGGAGGCCGTGTTTGCTTTTTAAAAGACGCGGTGATGGATGCCGTTTTTTCGTCTTCGGTCAGCACTATCGTCATCACATCGCACGGGGAGGAGGCGAAAGAATTCTTTTATCGTCGTGCAGCTTTTTTCAGTCGCCATTCTGCACGTGTTGTGTCGCGTAGCGTCGAGACGTTGTGTGCTTCGCACATCGAATTTTGTGTTCTCAGTGCCATGGCTCCGCCATCTGTGCCATCGCGGGAGCCAGGTGGTGTGAAGAAGCGTGGGAAGTATACGACCCTGACGATGGAGGAGAAAGCTGCCATAATCAAGCTAATAGAGAGTGGACGTTCGCAGCTAGATGTCGCCGGATGACGGTCGACGCCGGATGGCGGTCGTCGGCGGCGGAGATCGCCAACGCGGTGACAATTTTGTTGAGCGTTTACGGCGACAATGTCGCCTTGGCGCAAATACGGGCAAACCAAATTGCCTCCAAGCGTAGTTTGAGGCAAGGCAGCATCAAGAACTTTTTTAAAACCTGCCTGATGCAATAAACTTCAGATTTTTGGCGAAAACGAATTTTTCGGACTGTTCGATTTTTCGTACTTTTTTTCGGTCCCCGCCAGGTCCGAAAAATCGGTCGGCGACTGTAGTATTTTCAGATTGTACTCGAAAGTACAAAAAGAAAATGAGCACATGTTGCTTGGTGACAGGTCTGGGCACTACGTGAATGAGTCGTCTGAAATGCTGCGTGTAGCTCTGCTACGCAGGCCCGCTTCCCTAAGCCAGAGCCACAGCCAATGTACCTCCAATCTAGATCACGTGATCCCAACATTCATAAAAGCAACAAAAGCCTCCTTAAAGGTGCTGAAGCCTGTCATTTGTGCTTGTGCAGTCACGGGCGCCACGGCTGCATGGACAGCACCTCTGGCAAACCGTAAATATGAGCACAAAGTGAGCATGGGCGAATACGTCGCCAGTGACGCACCGTAACGAAATCTTTCGCCTGTCCCGCCAATTTCGCTGTAGCCAGGTTCGGCTGTACCATAAGGATATCTTGTCACATGCTTCAAAGAGCCAGTGAACTGGCTCCAACTGAAATTTTGTACATTTGCCACACAAGCTCACCATTCGTGCATTTTATGAATGTTACAGCACCTGCACACTGTGTAGCTCAATTCTGAAGAACACCCACTTCTCTTTCCAGCGCCTGTCCAGACCACTTCATATGCCAAGCAACGTGAAACTACTTCCGGGACAACTTTATATAGCACTGACATTGTCGATTCGTTGTGCACTTCGAAACAGTGTCTTGGCCCTGCATTTACTGCACTTCATACGGCCACTAGGGCAACCCATCACATCATCACATATCACTATCACTATCACATCATCACATATTAAGGACTGCAGTCTGTTTACTGGCCCTTTTAAAGATAAGCATATTTGATCAGCTGTCGCATGCTACATTTTGAGATCAGTTCTGCCGCCATCTTCACAACATGTCGTGATGCTTATCCGCTTTGTTCTGTAATTTCATTGGCTATACGCAAGTGGTCACCTTGTGCACTTTTGTTACTCAAGTTCGTCACAACCAACCGTACTGGGGCTTCAAGCCACCAGAATTGATACTGCAGCCTGATGTCGTGCTACTGCTGATGACAGTACATGCGTCACATGAAAGTTACACTTAGCGTCAAAATGTGATACTCTATTACAATTCGGCAAGCTCCAAACTTGCTCAGAGCTGTATCCATGTCGGGGAGATTGACATGGTGTAGTAAAGTCAGCTTTGAAAATTGTTGTCAGTACTACTTTTACTTGTGGCGCAAAAAAAAAAAGGGGGGGGGGGGGAGTAAAGAGAAAGCGCTCGTTTTATGCCACAACTCTAATTATGCTTGCTGAAACTAAAAAAAATTTCTCACGGCAGGTGATTAGCGAGAAAACACAGCCCTATCGTAACATTCTCCTACAATTACAGAAGTGTCGAAGAACCCCTTTTGTCTCTACAATACAAGCTGAAAGGGATCCCTTACATGGGCTCGTTTCTGTCGAGCCAGGAGTAGGAAGACGGGTGGCCGGACCAGACGGATGGCACCGTGGTCGAGATAGCCATGGCGGAAGCGGCGGGGCCCGCTTCCACGTGCGCCGTGCTCGGCTCGGACTGTAAGAACGGCGCTAGCTTAGAACCGAACAGTCGGCAGGCGCGCAGTGTTGCCACAGGCACCAAACGACACCCCATGTGCAGTATGTCTTTTTTGCACAATACAGAAGAAATTTCCAAAAATTTTTATTTTATCTGGGGCCACCTTGCTTCTAAGTCAACAATTATTCTTTTGGCACCAGTTTTTTTTTTTTTCCAGAAAGCAGTCTCTAAAAAAAAAACACTTTAACAAAGGATATACACGTAACTGCATGTTTATTGTTCCACAACTGACTGAAGCGGTCAGATCAATTTCTTTTTATAACAGTGCAACTGTTCAGCAATTCTTTCTTTGTTTTTTTATTCCATACCAAGAAAATATCATTGTAATACAGCACTTTCGTTTTCAATCCACGTGCACTGGCCCCGCACTTGGCTTCAGAACTGCACAGATGTTATTCACGATTGTGTCTACTGCCCTTTCGTTCGCAGCGATTGCAGTATGCAGCATTATTTTGGCTC